TCCTTCTTTTTAGTTAAGGTCTTTATTTTATTTATTTTTCATGCTTTCTGGGCCATTGCTTATTTTTATTGCTGTCTATAAGTAATGTAGCTCCTAGTAGAGTTGAGGTATTCCTGACTACATAAAATGCTTTGTGCTTCATTCCTATACTATTTTTGTTAAGCTTCTTGAAAGAGTACTTACTGTCTTTGAGGTAAATATGGTAGGCTTATGATTAAATCAGTATGTGGAATCTGAATGAGCAATATTATTACTCCTCTAAGAAGTGTTAATGTGCTGGATACTTTCACAGTTTACAGAATGCTTGACAAATGAGTGACCCAAGCCATTATCAGATAAATGCCGACCAATAATAGTAAATGAATTTTGCCATTCCTCAAATAGCTCTTATTTCAAGAAATAATTGAAGTGAAGTGTTTGACTTTGTTTGGTTCGTTTCTCAACTTATTGTTCCACATGTATTTATTTGGCTCTCCGAGGGTCTTGGGTGGTGACTGAGGTAAAAACCGAGGGCTCATTCCTTCTGGCCTAGAAGACATAGTCTTCCATATAGAAAGTACAACCATCAAATGTAGACTTGCCCAGAGCAATTTTCCATCTTTCACTGATTGATACAGAGTCTGTTCACTACTTGTAAGTGGGATGACCAACTACTTTATCCAGTTTATCTAAGGATATGAACTATAGTAAAAATAGTGGGCCATTTTTAAAAAGAAGAAGGGGGTACCTTTTTACCCTGTAATCCTCACCCTAAGGTCATTCTAATACAACTTCAACTAGATTTGTTTTCAGAGGATATATATTGACTTTCCGAGTTGCTTGGTCACCCAGACCAACTACATATTGTGTGAGCAAGTCTCCCGCACCATTATTTAGGTTACAATCCAGCTATGTGGGGCATGGGAAATCCACTGTCTCCTGAAACATATATTGCCTTCAGGAACTCTGTTCAAAAGTTCTTTCTAATCTAGGGTCAATGTCTGACTTGTATAATATAGTGAAATGGCCATGGGAATCAGAACTGGTTCATATCTGAGGTCTAGGCGGGTCACTTGGGGCAAGTTTAAACCTCTCAGTTTTCTCATCTGTGAAATGGGGATAATGGCGATTTCAAGAGTCCATTGAGAAAATCAAGTCAGATAGCAGATGTAAAACACCCAGAATGGTATCTTGCTCGTAGTAGGGCCTCAGCATAGTTTTCTTCTGGAAGTGTCTCCCTTTATGCTCATTCTTTCCATCTGAACTGTACAGACAAGTCTATATTTCTTTCCAGTTCAATGGTTGTGTCTTCCCTGTCTCCCTTCAGCTGTTCTCAAAAGACATGATTTGGTGGGTTTCCTCATCAAAGACATGTCATAGCATTTGTTTCTCTTGAGTGATGCCTAGAAGCAACAGAATACTTCAGAAAGAGTCTGGTGAGGATAAAATGGGCCATCACTTCCAAAATGCATCCTAAGGTCAAAATAATTTCTTTGCTTCTTCCCTTTTTGGGGCAGCCGCATTGTACATTTGGTGAGAATAATGTAAAAATATTAACCATGATATCAGACATTTTATTTTTTAGGATTTTGATTTAACTTGTATCTGTTCTGTATATAAGGAAATGTCTCATTATATGCACAGAGCAGAAGTCATTAGGGTGAATTCTGGTTTGTGTTAAGGTATAGTCAAAATCTCTTTTTTGCTTTTATTGTGCCTGGTTTTTTAAAGTACTTTATATTCTTTTCCTTTTTTAATGGTATGGCCTATGTATATTTTCTAAAGATGTGGTTTCAACGTTTAGTCATGCCTATCTTCTGTTTGCCGAAAGAAAAGGTGATTTGGCAATGGAGAATGGAATGAAAGCAAAGTCTGTGCATGCTTAAAGATTTGTTGCTGAAATAGCTTAACCTGACCTTGAATATTTTGAGATCTTTCAGTTATGTTTGCACATCCCTTTTACATAGAGGCACAGATTATTGGATTGGACAAAGGATGATTCTTATTCCATTATGAACTAAGACTATTAAACACATTACGTATAAGTAGTTTTGTATGCAGAGATAAATATGAATATGTGTGTTTATTTTACCCATACTGGTGATCAGAGGCATTGATATATAGAGAGGGAGTTAGATATGTAAAAAGCATGTTACCTGAAAAACTATGCAATTTGAGGCAATTCTCTTTTTGAGATGAAATGACCTAGGTTATTTTGTTTGATTAAACTCTTTTTTACATTGTTATCATAATCTTTGAATTTGTTTTACCAGCTATTTTTCAACGAGACTACCAAAAAGCTCTAAGAAATGTCTGTGTCTTACAGTTCGAACCTAACCTATAAATTGGCAATGAGAGACTTGTAAAACTCATATATGAGGTCTGCATAGTGTTAATGTTTGAGATTTATTTCCCCCAAAGGTTCATAAATAGTATTGACAAATATATTGCACTCTGCAATTTTGACATGGTCCTGATGTAGGATGGGAGGTTTGAAAAGTTTAAGTAAACATCTAAATTGAATTTGTTAGATATTCTGCACCAAGAGTCCTGTAGTCACTAGCCTCAATTTGTTTTTACTGAGCATTTTCCAAAGGATAATACATGTCTCTTTTTAGAACCACATAAGAAAGCTGCTGCAAAATAAACCCCAAATTCCTGTCTTTTTTGCCATCAGTTAGAGAGACTTCTCCATTTAAGGAATCACATCTCTTTTCAATCATTTAAATATACTTTATTTTCCTAAAGTGTGCAACCTATACATGACTTTCCAGACCCCATTGAATTTGGGACTCGCTTTTGCAGTGATTTGCTTGTAGTTGACACAGTCTTTTTTACTGTCAAGGATCATCAACTTGAGCTAGTCTTTTTATTTTTCCTACATGCTTTCCATTTCAGGTTAAGAATAATGGGTATCTGTTTTTGTCATTTGTTTTATTTTCTAAGAAGTAATTAGCATTGGCTATAGCCAGACTCTACAGGGATTGACAAGACAGTCGTTTTCTTTGTGGGGCTTCCCTTTCAGTCAGTAAGATAACCACAGCTACAGGTGACTATGCTAGGAAGTAAAAAACATTCTCATGGTAACAAAGTACAGTGAAAGGACGGTTGAGGGGAAAATAGCTTTCAGGATGGATCATGTAACATTCTCTCCCAGTCAGTCATGCAAAGGAAAGATGTGTGTGGGAAGAGAGAAATATGTGAAAATAATTAAGTCTCTTGGAAAAAGTTTCAGTAACAACTATTCTAATTCTTGAGAATTATGACTTTTAAAGATAACGAGGACATCTCTTTTTAGTTTGAATTATTTCTTGTTCAACTCTTATTTGATTATTCCTCAATCTTAAGTTTTTGTTAATTCCAAACGTCTCTAATTTTAAGCTCAGAGATGCCTATTTTCTTTTTAGAGGGGGACAAATCACAACGTGTTTGTGGAAATACATGATGATGACGATCCCTACTTTAAAAATACAGAGTTGGGTGGGATTGAGACCCCTTAAGTGATTTGTTTGTGTATCCAAAAATTTAGTGGAATCCACCCTGTGCTAGTATTACATTAAATGGAGAGCAAAAAGAGAGATGGACTTTGCTATCGTAGAGCTCATAGTCTAATCATAAAATCCCTCCAGCGTGAAATTTTTCTGTTGAATTATCAACTCAGAAATAAGCACTTAGACATGCACTAATAAGACACGTTTTGTGTAGAGATATCACCAGAGTAAAAGAATACACACACACACACACACACACGCCTGGTTCTTCTTTTAATCCAGGCTTTATTTATTATTATTATTATTATTATTGTTTTTATTTATTTATTTTTTTACAAAATTGTTCTTCAGATTAATATCCCATAAAGGTTTTTTGTACCTTTGGTCTTCATGTATGAAAAAATGAGATTATCTAGTTTGATATCTACAATAATAGTGTCCATCTCACCTCATGATTTCAAAAGTAAAGGATATTATGTTAAATTTAAAACATTGAAATGATGTCTCCAAGTCAGGCGTGATAAAATAGGCTGTGAGATTATCTGTTTGATGGTTTCTTGGTTCGTGATGATTTATGCATCTATTTATTAGCTGATATTCATTCTGAGTGGGGTGCTGAAACAAATAATGGTCTGGTTAGGTATCCCCCCAAAATGTATGGTATGTAGGGTTGTTTTAGGATCTGCAGATCTCAGATTATTTTCCTCCAGATGATAACTTGTTTAGTGAGAGATTATGCCAGTAGCGATGAGAGAACTGTTCCTCAAGTTTCTTTAAACAGCTCCAGATCCAACATAGGTGAAAGGGGAGTTGGTTGGAGGGGGACAAGAACTTGGCCCTCTTGCTCCCTCCAGGACCCCTCCCAGCAAACCCTCCCCCAATCCCCCAGCTCTCCAGACACAGAACAGCTCAGATGTGGTGAAGTTCCTAACTTATGGCGGGGACAGGGAGTGCCCAAGGCCTCTGGTGCCAGCATTTCAAATGACATATTATGTACTGCCTTCTTTAAAAATGTTATTTTTTTCTTATCATGAGGAAAAAGGAAAATCTTTCATGACAGCTTACAGTTGTATTCAATGGATAAGCAGGTGAAACACTGAAACCCATCTCATCACTGAATTGCTTATGAACTGAAAGTAAAGCAAGATCAGAGAATAATGGGCAAACCATTGTGGATTTGCTGCTTTCTTTTTCCTTTTCTTTCTTTCTTTCTTTTTTTTCTCCTTCATCGAAGTAGATCAGATATTTTAGGAACACAATCAGAGTTCAACAGTTGTGTATAAGCCTGACTTGAATTTCTCCTGCCTCACCATTAGCCTTCCCCTTCCATGAAAGAAATAGACCATGCAGAGTATGTACCTATAATATTTACAATGTAGCACGCTAATCTCATATGAAACTGTAATATGGAAAAAAGTTATAGTAGTAATTTGATGCCTATGGGATTTATATTTCTAATATCGTTGTAGATGCTAACATTGTGTTTCTTCTTTTTCTCTTCCCTCCCTCCTGCTCCTCTCCTGTCAACAGTCCTGGTACCTGGGCTAGCTTGGTTCCTTTCCAAGTATCAAATAGGACACCCATCCTACCGGCAAATGTCCAAAATTACGGTTTGAACATAATCGGAGAACCTTTCCTTCAAGCAGAAACGAGCAACTGAGGGAAAATGAAATACAACAGTAGTTTAAGAAATTTAAAAAAAAAAAAAAAAGGAAAAGTGGAAGACTGGACAAAACAAAACAAATAAAAAGGGAGAAAGGAAAGCAACTGAAGAAAGAAGATATATAGACCAGCAATTGCAGCACTTACAATCACTAATTCCCTTAAGGTTGAAACTGTAATGACATAAAAAAGGGTCGATGATATTTCGCTGATGGTAGATCGCAGCCCCTGCAACGTAGCCTTTGTTACATGAAGTCCGCTGGGAAATAGATGTTCTGTCTCTATGACAATATATTTTAACTGACTTTCTAGATGCCTTAATATTTGCATGATAAGCTAGTTTTATTGGTTTAGTATTCTTGTTGTTTACGCATGGAATCACTATTCCTGGTTATCTCACCAACGAAGGCTAAGAGGCGGCATCAGAGGTGCTGGGTGACGGAGCCATGAGCCAGCCATTTTCTAAGCACTCTGATTTCTAAAAGTTAAAAAAATATATATATAAAATCTCTGTAGCCTTTAGTTATCAGTACAGATTTATTCAATTTTGGCCCTTAACCCAGCCTTTCCCAGTGTGTAACCCAGTTTGAAACCTTAAAAAAAAAAAAAAAAAAAAGAAAAAAAAAAAAAAGAAAAAAAACAGTTTGAACACAAAGGCTCTATGGAAGAAATGCCTCTATGTAGGTAAAGTGTTATCTCTGCATGCAACAGTAAAAATTAATATAATATTTTCCCCACAAAAGAAACACTTAACAGAGGCAAGTGCAATTTATAAATTTATATCTAAAGGGGAATCATGATTATAAGTCCTTCAGCCCTTGGACTCTAAATTGAGGGGATTAAAAAGAATTTAAAATAATTTTGAACGAATTTATTTTCCCCTCAGTTTTTGAGGGCATTAAAAAGGCATTAAATCAAGACAAATCATGTGCTTGAGAAAAACAAAAATTAACAAAAACACAGCACTTATGTTGGTTTAGCTGCATCCTCCTTGGAGGTAGGATTTATTTATTTAAAATTACTGGTTGCATCAAGAACCCATAGGGTGTATGTACAAAAGGTTCTACAAAATCTGCATTACAGAGACAAAGAGGCAGGCAAATCCATGTCACGAGGGTAAAGCTTACAGTTTACAAACTGGGAACGCCAGGGTGTAGGATGTAAAAACGCACTCTTGAGAAAACAGTTGTAATGAGGGTGCTGAAAACTTGCATGGTGCTTTCAGACATTAGCCTTGTTCAACAAATTTCTTGTATTGACAGATCTGTAGTGTGCATGGGCAGACACATTTTGCCTCTATGTCTCTTAAAATTTTAATTAAAAATACTCTTTCCAGTAATCCTAATTTGCACGAAGATATAATGTCCACATTACGTGCCTTGCCTTGAAATTTAAAAACAAAAAAAAAAACAAAAAACAACAAAAAAAAACCACAAAAAAGTGACATCACTACACTTGTTTTGCTGCATTTATTATCATTTTAAATCTTTACCATTTTTATGACAAAATATTTTGTACTCCAGACGAAGAAAAATGTGTGACATCTTGGATTTTTTAGACAGTTATACCTTTATCTCACATTTATAAAGCATATCATGGCTGTGTATAGTTGCCGCTTAAAAATTGTAATCGACCAGCAATATTTTCAGTATTTTGGTGTTTTTTCTATTAACCTTTCATGTTTTTCATCTTCCAATTAATATTTGGGGGGGAGGGGTTTCAAATTTATACGAATTATGCAATACCAAGTTTTGCCTATGTAGGTAGTGCTTTTAGCTGTATTGGTTATTATAGGTAAGTACACAGATTTAAAAAAAAAATAATGTATGCTTTTTTTCGTTTGTTTGTTTTAATTGACCAAAGTGGGTACTGCTATTTTTGCAGTGTGATGAGGTCCTTTGTGTACTGAGAGATGGACAGGGGATTTTTTTTAATATACATATATATATATTCTGGGGGGGTGGGAGGATTTTTAACACTTTACAGTGTAGCTGTGAAGAAGCAGTGCCCCCTGAGATGGGCCTGGGCTGCAAAGCGACTGTTCTGTCTACTGTGACAAACTTCAACTTACACAGGTTCCCCCTTCTCAAACTTCCCACCTGGGGTGCAGGCTGAACTCATTTCTGGTGTTCGTTACAACAGAAATAGTAAGAACAAGTGAACACAACATATTCTCCTGGAGGCAGACTTAGCTTAAAACTGTCTTACCTTCTTTTTTTTTTTTTTTTTTTTTTTGTCCTTTTTTTGTGGGGGGAGGGGTTTGGTGGTGGTGGATGGTGGTAGTTTTTCTGGAAAGTTCCGGATCCACAGTGGAGAGTGAGCCTGTCTCATATTTGGCAAAAATATCGGTGGAAGAATCCACATAGTGGAGGTTTCACACTTTGAGGGTTTAGGTCTATTTTTTCCTACAAAACCCATCATCCCAGCTGGAGGGGTGCTCCCACAGTCTTTCTCCACCACTTCTCTTTCCCCATTTCTTCGTTTCCTTATTGGTAGTGGATGATTTATCTGTGACTCACTACTTCACATGGATGGCAGTGCATTTGGGTTTTTGTTTTTTGTTTTTTGTTTTTTTACTATATCCAGAGGATTGAACAGATGGTTGCTATAGTAAATGTATTTGGACTTTTAGATTAAAATCAAAGTTCAGTTTTTAAGGAACAAAAAAATTAGTAAATCTTGTTCCACTTTCATTTTACCTGACCTTTCAAATGGAGAACCAGAGCAGAAGGGAAATGTAGAATATTCAGAAATTAATGTTCCTGTGGATGAATTAAACCCATTAGATGCTGATGGGATTTTTTAAGGGATGGTGCCTCAAATATATATTTGATTTAGTTTCCCCTGAGGGCTAGTGGGTGAATGGAGGCTGGTTTTATTTTGCTCTTACACCCCTCTCCCAGCCCCCCAGTCCCATTGCGGGAATTCATTACTAGAAGGAAAATCTTTCAGAATTAGTGACACATACAGAGGGCTGTCTTGAGGAGCCCCCGACACCTCCCCCCCACCCTGGGGCCACGGCCTAATAAAATAAACTGCCCATTGTTCTCACAGCGTATGATTTAATAATGAATACTTTAGGACAATGCTTATGGGTCTAGAATTGTATTTGATTAGCCCATTCAGTCGATAGCCCACATGCTGGATAGCACAGCAGGACCCCAGCCACGCAAGTTGAAAAGTAAGTCCGATCATTTCTGTGATACTTGCCCTGATACACAACAGCTCATCTCAGCCAAGCTCTTCACGTATCTTTGACCTAGTAGGTGAACACATCGAACCTCACAGGACACGCAGTATTTTTTAAAGGCAGACTCGCTCGCTCTCTCTCTCTCTTTCTTTTTTTTTTTTTTTTGCCAGAGAATGAGCAGTTCTAGCTAAGTCAGTTACACACTGTGGGTATTCCTGCCTGCCTCTTGATTACAAAGGCCTAGTTCAAGTGTTGGTTTTTTTGTTTTTGTTTTTTTAATCCATTTTTTCCCCCTCCTTCCCTTTCGTGAGAAAACTATTAAAGATACTACTATCTATGGAAAATCTCAAATCCAATTTTTGGCCTCCTCCTCTCTTCCCAGGGAAGTCTGTCTTCTGACTAAGGGCCCTGCTCTTGCAGATCTTGCACGCCCCTCCCTTCCCCAGAACTCAGAGCTTCAGGATGGCGAAGGTCACCCAAGGGTATCAGGAGGGGGTGGTCTTCTGCCCCTCCTCGCCCCCCCCCCCCCCCCCCGTGCGTTCCACAGCATTGTTCAGCTGTTTCCTTGCGTGGCTTCGTGGCTTCGTGGCCCACCCCTCACAGTGCCTCTGAAGTTTCCTCTGGAGTGACATGAGCGTTGGAGGCTTGTCTAAGGGAAAATAAGTAAATAAATAAATAAAAGGCAGTGAAGGAGACTGTACATAAAGACATGGCAAAAATCTTAATGATAGCAATATAGTTATGGGGTAATGTTCGGGTGGGCAGCTCCATTTAAAAAAAAATATGTGAATGAATCTGTGAAGCTGCAAAGTAGCGAGAAGAGCGAGAGATCTTCTTAACGAACCGCCTACCTTGTAGACAGTAATTTGTACACTGTATAGTTTTGTTAAGAATTTTTTTTTAAATTAAAATTCCCATGTTTGTAAAGCTAACTTTTTAACAATTATAATGGGACTGTATGTTGTTTCCATTTTTAAAGTAAACAAGAATATTCCTTGTTTGGAGACTGGACTTGAGTTAAAACTCTCCAGCCTCTTAAGTTATGTATTAAAAAAAAAAAAATCTGTCCATGTTAGGAGTTATTTCACAGATGCCTGTGCTTGAAAAGCATGGGATACTAATCCTTTAAAAAAGTGTAAATGGAGAAAAGTTATATTTTATGAAGGTTATTTTGTTGTATTTAGTATTGGGAAAGTTGGTTTTCAGAGCATTTCAGAATGTCAGAAGCACCACTGTCTTTTTTTAGTATATACGGCCTTTAGCAAAAGTTTTTGTGATTGTTACGTGATGGTATTTAAGGTTAAGTTTCACAGAGCATTCGGGATAGGCAGAAAACGAAATCAGTGCTATGTCTCACATAATGTGTCCTCAGGGAGCAGAGTATTGGATTTGTGACTGGTAGCTTCATAAGGACTCAACAAAGGAGATTGCACGGGGACATCTTCAGCGGTGGGACACCAGGACATGTGCTGTCCCTAGATTCAAAACCTAGGCACCATGTGAAACGATGAAGGCTGCAGAAAGTTATCCCATATTCAGTGTACAGTATTCATTTTTAATGAAACAACTCTACAATATTGCTGGCAGATAGGCCCCGAGCATGACATTCAATATAGTTTACATGTTCCTGTCAAGGTCTTGGTTAACATTAACCAGCTGCATGCTTCCTGGACTTAAAAAAAAAAAAATTGGGTTTCGATAGAAAACTTTTTTTTTTTTTTTTTTTTTAATGTGCAGGCTATTCAAGTTCAATAGTAAAAGCTCGAACTCGAAATTGAATGTTTTTACTCCATGCTGAAGGAGCTGAAAGCTGCCTTCATATTTTGCACTTTCTGGTAGTTCCCCTGTTTTTTCGAATTCCTTAAAAATTGTGTGGGTGGGGTGGAGCACTGCGGTTGGGGGAGAGCATGGACCACTGATTTTTGCCCTTTGACCCTGCACAATGACCTTTGCATCAGCCAAACTCATTGCCATGACAACTCTTTGTACTGTGTCCGTGCCACAGATCTGTTGGTTACATTGTTAATAGTAAAGGGGACAAGTTGGAGACGGTCAATTTTTACATTTTTTTGTTGTTGTTGCAATTTTTTCTTCAATGGTTGTAAGTAGTTTTTTTTTTTTTTTTAAATAATAAAAGGTTTCACTAGTTAATACTCTTTAGAAGTATCTGTGTGTTGCAATTCAAATGTATGTTGAGATTGTGAAAAGTGCTTCAGTGCTACTAGCCTACCTGGATGCTAGACCCAGCCTCTGAGGAGCTCCTCTCAAATGATGACAGTTACCGGTGACACCAGGTGGCCTCCACACGCCAAGGGCAGAGTAAGCTAGTGACACTAAAGCGGTCTTGTATTACTGTAATTTTTGACAGAATGGTTTTGAAAACTGTGCTACAGGGACTGATGTGGCAAATATATCTCTTTATGCAGAAGGAAGTCTTTTTTTTTTTTTAAAGAAGTATGGCTTATTATGCATTCTTCATCAAGGGCATTGAAGTTGCATGGACTGATAAAAGTTGATGCAAAACGAGAAAGAAACAAAACAAAACAAAAAAAAAAACCAGCAAAATGTTTACCAAAAAACTCAAACAAATGAGCAGTGCCTGTTCAATTTCACAGTCTCTGTTGAGTTCAGTTGTAAATATGTTTCAAATGACATTTTCTTGGGAAAAAAAAAAAAATCTCTACAACATTGTAGAATGTGAGGGGTAACTACATCCCAGGCATAGGCTTCTCAAAGCTGCATTAGATTATGTCTTCATCAAGCTGTTAATTTGTGCTTATATCATATAGAACTTTTAGCATCCTGGGAAGAGGTACCCCCACTTCAATGATATTTCTCTGAGAACAACTTTTGTAGGACTGTGTGTTTCTTTAGATACATTTAGTACAACTGTAGGTGACGAGTAGTCAGTTACTGCTTGCTAGCTACACACCAGGGTTGATCCATTTTAAAACTTTTGGCATTCTGTCCTCATGGGCCATAAATACAGAACCTTGTATTTTAATTAAATTTTTTTAAAAAAGGAGGCACATGCACAATCTCCGTGTTGCAAACCTTTAGCGGTAGGATGTATTATATGACAGTTACTTAATTTCTGGCATTCAGACCTCTGGGATCAGCCCCAGACTGGGCCAGAATGTTAGCGAAGGTTTTTATGATGCCCGGTTGGAGGATAATGTTCTTTGGGTACTTTTTGTGGGTTGCAAATGAACTCAGTTGCCACAAGTTTTAAACTGGTGT